AGGTGTCAATCCTCAATAAATTCCTATACTTGAATTAGAGGTGGTCTGACTGAATTCTTTGAGCAGACACTCCACAACACACCATGAAACTGCAACAATACTTCTAGGGACAAGGAACCTTACAAGGCAGCTCATTTGATTTTCCACACTTAAAATCAAGCAAAAACTTCCACCTACAGTTATTCTGCCCTTTGGAGCCACACAAAATTGTCTCATTCCTTTTTCACCTGATAGCTCTTTAAATATTTAAAAGTAGCTATCATTGTCCAGAAAGTTGTCTGAAAAACATTTTCCAGTCCTTTCAATCACAACATAATTAGGGTACCCTCCCCATTCTATTCTTTTTTCTGGATTCAATCCAGCCTGTCAACATCTTTATTAAAATGATGTGCCACAAAGCATGGCAGAGATGGACGGGGTGATCACAGCAGAATAAAGTGGGGCTATTACTATTAGGCCTGGAGTCAGGAAGACTCATCTTCATGAGTCCAAATCTGGCCTCAGACACTAGCTTTGTGACCCTGAGCAAGTCATTTAACCCTGTCTGCCTCAGTTTCCTTATTTGTAATATGAGCTGGAGAAGGAAATGGCAGACCACTGTATAATCTTTGCCAGGAAAACCCCAAATGGGGTAGTGAAGAGTTGAACACGACTCAACAACATCATTACTAGTAGGTGAGTCTGGCAAAACTTTTTTTTCTCTTGTGAACTTATCTGGCTTCTAATAATCATTCCCATTAGCATTCACAAATCTTCTTATCTGTTCTAGAACTTGGAAGTGAATTAACAAATAGAGGCTTATTATCCAGCATAAGGGAGGTATTTAGTTACAATATACTCTTCCCTGTTTCAGCTATATCCAGAATACTATGTTCAGTTTGGGCATCACATTTTAGTTAGAGGCCTAATAGGAAAGCTGGAACATGTTTAGAAGAAGGCAGCCAGGGTGGTTAGAGGACTGTAGAACATGCCATATGAACATTACTGAACAACGAAATGAGTATCCTCAAGCATTTAAGGGCTGTCACGAGAAAGACATGTTTCACTTGGCCGCAGAGGATATAATGGGCTGCATAGAGGCATATTTAATGAGATAAGAGGAGAGAAGCCTTCCTAACCCTTAATGCAGTCTACAAAAGCAGAAGAGGCTACCTTAGGAAGAAGAGTTCTCCCTCACTGGTTTTCAAGAAGAGGCTAAAAGAACTTCTTGTTAAGGATACTGTAGGAGTGATTCTTAGGTACAGACCAGACTAGTTGGCTTCTGGGGTCTCTATCAACATTTAAATCGTTAAAACAACAAACCTGAAGTTTTTAGACTAGCATTAATTGATTCTTGACTAAGTGATTACTACCTAAGTGATTGACTTAGTGATTACTATTTCTCCTTTGTAAATGACACAAACCATCCTTTTGATAATGTACTACCGAATTTTTGCAAGTAATAGAAATTCAGCTCACTGGTTTGTAGTTTGCAGATTCTACCTTCTTTCCTAACTATAATGTACCTAATCAGAAATAGATTTCCCACTTTTCTTTTGTACTGTCCCCAAATTGGTATAGATGGGGCTTATTTGGAAATTAGAGAATTCACTTTAAAAGTAGGATTTTTTTCCCAATTAACCCTTGCTTTTTAGCAATAAACCCTTGCTAACTGGGTATTCTTAAAAATCAACAGATATGAAAGATAAAAAATATACTAATGGGGTGTAGCCAATTTTTTATGATTCTTCGATTTTTTTTCATTGGTGATAGTTGGCTAAATACCATCATTAGATTAAGACTATCATTAAGAACATTATAAAATGGCATTCTTATACCTCAGGGAGGTCTACTGTTTACACTGCATCTACACCAAAGCATAATAAGGCTGCAGAAGTGAAAAATCAAATCTGGTTCTGGCTCCAAGCCAAAGGCTCTATCCTTTACACTATCATGTCAAAATAAGGAACAGAATTTGAACTGTTTATATAGCCATGAAGACAATGAAATATTTAGCATAATGTTTAGTGGATATAAGCTTTTTGTTGCAATTTCAATCAACACCTATCAATTTAAGGAAACAATATTCACGTAACTCTTAATACTGCGGATAAATAGCTGGTAAAAAGTTTTTACATTTGTTGCTGAGTCATTTCAGTCACGTCCAACTCTTCACTACCCCATTTGGAGTTTTTTTTGGCAAAGATACTAAAGTGGTTTGCCATTTTCTCCTCTAGCTCATTTTACAGATGAGGCAACTGAGGTAGTGTTAAATGACTTGACCAGGGTCACACAGTCAGTATCTGAGGCCAGATTTGAACTCAAGAAGATGAATCTTCCTACTCTCTAGGCCTGGCACTCTATACACTATACCTTATTTTACATTAACAGCCTTGAGTTGTGATGAGTTTGTGCAATTCCCATTTGTAGTTCCAGTTTTCATTTAATTTTAAGGAATATCTGACTTTTTTACATGTTATTTCCCTCCCTTCATATTTAAAATAAATGGCAAAACTGACTTACTTTGAACAGTCACACCATGCAAAACCCAATCTAGGTCTTAAGACTAATATAAGATGCTTTTATTTAAGAAAATATTAAAGACTTCTTTCATAAATGTTGTCAGTTCCATATTTGCTCACAATTATAGAATTTGAGAGCTAAAAAAGACTGAGAAATAAGAGATTAGTTCAACCTCCTCATTAATGATGTGAGGAACTTGAGGCTCAGAAATGCTAAATGACCTTGCCCAAGGTCACATAGCTAGTTAGTGGTAGGCTTGGGACTAGAACCCACATATCTCTACTTGGCTATGCTATGCTGATTTAATTGCTGTCTTTCATTCACTGTAATCCTGGAGTTGTTAGATAACCTAAAAAGAGTTGTAATTTCTTTTTTTCCTTTTTTTTTGCCTATGTACCAATATTTATTTAGTTTTCCCATTTTATTTTTTCCAACTACATGTAAAAAATAGTAGCAATTTCAATGGAAAGCATATTTTAAAAAAGGTTACTCAATTCTTTCTACTCCACACCAAAATCTCTCTTCGCTTCTTTTTTTCCAGTCCTGACTTCTAAATTCCCTTCCAACTCTAACATTTTATGATTCAGTGATTTACTTTTGGAGTTAACCTTTTCACTTACATTCTCATTCCATACTCCTGCATTTTGGGGTACCTTATTCCATTTGTCATTTAATCATTACTTTTTTACATCTTCAGCTAACCCTTCTCCACTAGCTCCTTCTTTATGCCTGAAAACAACCTCTGTGATCCTTTAAAAATTATACACACATATATATATATAAACATATATGTGTGTATGTACATATATATATTACCCTGTTACTTCACCCAGCTTCCTTCATCCCCTCTTTTCCTTACATACTAATTTATCAAAAGATTAGTTCCCTGGTTCTAATTGTCCATGCTCAACCCCTTACAAAAACAGCTTTTGCCTCAATGGTGATTTTTCATTTTGTCATTCATCACACATCTTAATAATGAATAATCTTATATGCACAAAAGTAATGAATTTTTATCATTAAAATCATTTTTATTAATGATTCTCTTCCTTGATCTCTCATCTGCATTTGACATGCCTTTTTTGAAACCTTTCTCTCCTCCTTGGCTTTGGTGCCATACATTCACTTCATTAGCCTATCTCATTTTCTTCCTTCTATCTTCAGATGCTTACATTCTACATGTCTCTCCACTTTTTCCTTTGGTAATTTCATCTGCACTTTGGCTTCATCCTTGATGAAGACAACTCCCAAATTTCTGATATCTAACTTGACAGCATTTCCAATGTCTCCTGGACAGGACACACACCTAGATAGACCCACACACCCCTGTGTGCTGTTAGCACTTCAAACTAAATAAGCTCTGGAACTGGAGTTAAAATTCTGACCCCATGGGACACTTTGTAATTGTAGGGCACTAAAACTCTCTGGGCTGCAAGGTCCTTATCTGTAAAATCAAGAGGCTAGAGTAGATGGATTGAGGTTCCTCCCAATTCAAGATCAATGGGTCTATGTCTCCAACAGAATCCACCATCTTCCTCTCAAAACTAATTTCTTTCTGAGCCATTTCTTCTACTCCATTTTTCCTATCCATTCCCAGTCATGGCCTTTCAACAAGGCTATTGCAATAACCTTCCAACTAGTGTTTTCTGCTTTTTTTTGGTTGTTGTTGGGCAATGAGGGTTAAGTGCCTTGCCCAGGGTCACACAGCTAGTAAGTGTTATGTGTCTGAGGCCACATTTGAACTCAGGTCCTCCTGAATCCAGGGCTGGTGCTCCATCCACTGTGCTACCTAGCTGCCCGTTTTCTGCTTCTACATCCCAAATGGCCTACACAGTGATGATGAATGACTTCTTCAATAATATGTCTGGTTAAGCAAGGCAGACAAGCAGCATATATTAGGAGTTCATCATAAGCATACTTACTACAGTGCAAAGGCAGTGTGCTAAATGCTGGGGATACAAATATAAGCAAAAAGGAAACCTCATAAGGTGATCGTTAATGATTTCTGATCAGCTGCAGAAGAATAAGGTGCAAACTTCTTACTTAAGTGTCCTCCCCTTGCCTTTCCAGACTCATGTTCCAATACTCCATATTATATTCTAGCAAACTATTCATTATTACTTAGAGCTGGAAGGAAGCATAGCAACTGCTAATTCACTCCCTCTCATTTTCCAGATGAGGGAGCCTGAAGCCCAGTGAAACTATGACTTGCCAGTGGTTACACAGGATGAAAATAGTGTTAACAGCATTTGAACTTACGTCCTTGGACTCCAAATTCAATAGTCTTTCTACTATATATTACTGCTTCCCCCAAAACTTCATTTGTCCAATTTTTACACATACAAAGTTCAACTCAAAATGTCATTTTTTCCACTATCTTCCTGGACTCCCTCCCCCCAAATAAGCTTTCCTTCCAATGAACTAATATAGTACTTAATACCTCTCCTAATGTACTGTCACATTATACCTTCCCAGTATTACAGTCTAGTACTAGAGTCCAAGAGAAGGCAAGAATGTCTTTATTTATGTAACATCTATACTACTTGGCACATAGTAGTAGGTACTCAATACATTTTTACAGAATCACTTTCTTTTTCAATATGAACTATCCCAAATTCTGACCCTCAAAGAGAATTTTAGAATGTTAAAACTGGAAGGGACCTTAAAAGTTACCTAATCCAAACCTCTCATTATTATAGACAAGCAAGCTGAGGCCTGGCCCATGGATAACACACAATGAATTAAAACTCAGGTTCACTAACTCAGTTCAAACTTTTCCCATTATACCATGTTGTTCTTTACTCTTAGAAAATACCTTTTTCAGGGTAATACATTCTGTTTTTAACTTGGGCAGCGAAAGATGCACAGAATTACTGATTCCCATGAATTATCTGAATATACTGTAGAATTCTCCTTTTTTCCTACTGAATGCCTAGATTATATGAACAGGATACTTCAAAGCAGCCCCCAAAAAGTTATCATTAACTCAAAGTGAATATAAACTTGTTGTCACAAATATGACAAAAGAAGTTAAGTTTAATTGACCAAAATAAATCATGTTTCTAAGACCAGGAGCTGGCTACATTCTTGTATTTGAATATTTCAAGAACAACCACCATAGTTTATCATCGAAATTTTTGGGGGGATAGGGGGGAAGAAGGCAGAATTTTATTTTACATGGGGTCTAAAGGTTCTCCCAAAGGGGTATGCAAATGCGTATTTTATCTTATTGATGTAAATCAATTCATTAATGTCCAGTTTGAAATTATTTTGTGAATGTGAAATGAATTCTTCCACTTTTAATCTTTCTACAATGGTTAAATAGCTAACATGATTTAACAAGTTTCATAAAAGCCTGGAAAATACCCAAGAACACAAACAAATCACACATGGTCAAAACAAAAATGTAATAAAAATATTTAGTGAAAAAGACATTTTTAACCCCCATATATGGATTAAAAAAATACAGACAGAATTTCATCAGTTTGATATTCAGCTTGTAACCAGCTCGATTACATAGCCTTGATTTGCTTCCTAAAGTCTTATTGCAGCATCTTTTGAAAAACTGAATGCAACTTTTATACCATCAGTTATGCTCAATAGAGGTAAATATTTAAACAGTATATCTGTCCCTGGGTCTCTTTAAAAAAATTGAAAAAGTCTTTGTATATGTTTAAAATTTTAATATTTATAAATTTTTAAAAATTTACACGTGCTGTATTGGTAGCAGTGCTAACATTTTGTGACCATAAAACCACAAATTCACTGCATTGAGCTTTTCTTTGTACAGAGACCAAATCACAATACCAAAATTTATAATTTGTCATAATTTTATGTAGTACAGCACATCAGAAGGTCTGTACTCAAAACACAGTTGGGCCAGACTCTCTTGATAGGTATCTAGTGCAGATGTGGTAATTGTAGGCTAGGAAAATTAGCTATTAGTACGCAATTAGCAGCTCCTAACAGCTAAGGGTGCTAGGAATGAAGACTGATAGGGAAAAGAACTAAAGCTTCATTTTACAGACAGGAATGAGGAATGGTGTTAGGGTAGGGACAAAGGGATGGGTAAGTGCCTCTGATGACTGGATGATTAACAAACCACAAAAGACCTTGTGTTTAAGCAGCTGTTAACTGTTCAAGAACAAAATGAGTTGTGGTGTCAGTCCTAGGAGATTAATGTGCATACCACACTCTCCTAACCTCTATAAAAGAACCACCACCAAAGTCACTTTGCTATAATCTTTAGAAAAGAATCCAGAAATAAACAGACCCAGAGGCCAAAAACATTTCTTATTACCTCATGTCCCTCCTCTCCAAAAGAGGCTTGATTTACATTATTAGAACAGAGTGAATGAAAAGTTTACACCAGTGCCTGGGCCACAATATTCTATCATTACAGATGCCCCATCAGTTACCATTATAATCTGGCACCTTTCACATTTCTTAAATAGCCAAGATGCGTTTAGCTTTAAACATGTTATTCATATCAAGTTTTAAAGAGCAGGTCCAATTTAAAATTCCAAACACATTAAAAAATTTTTTTTTGTTGAGAAAATGGTTAGTTAGTCCTTTTAGAAAAGGATTTGAGCCAAATCATAGAATATCCACACATCTCCAATTTAAAAATAATTTCAAACATTATCATATTCTTATGTAGCTAAGTGGTTTTTTTCACAATTTTGTAACTTATTAAGGCAAAAAACCAAACCAAACCAAACCAAAAAACAAAACAAAACAAAAAACACCTCAGGACCAAATTCTTTATTCTCTGATTTAGTAGGATATGAGAATAAGTACTAAGGTTACTTCTGAACCAAAAAAACCTCATTCTCCCACATTCTCTAAGTAACTGTAATAGAAATAGCTAAGAAGACCTGATGATACAACTACTTTTAGTGATGAGAGCTGCAAAAGGATCATCAATAATTTTCTAAATGAAGAAAACTTTAAAAAATGTTCAATTGACAGGTTCTTTGTTCCACGATGACACTCAACTCAATTGTAAAATCCTTGAATATTACAGTGGTTTCCTTTTGGCGCTTGAGTTCATATAAGTAGCAACAGAGATAAGAATGTAGATGGGAAAAAACAAAAACTGATATTTAGTTAGGTTAATGGATTAAGAAAACTAAGTACAGTGGATGGGAATATTAAAAATTTTTGGACAGGGGAGGGAATCACTCAGATTCTTGGCTGTAAAAAAGGGAAAATGCAGGAATTGTTTTTAGAATAATAAATATCTCATCTGAATAGAGAAATGCTATACAATCCAGACACATGGTATACAATTAAACAAGACTGAATTGTATAAACAACTTCTAAGAAAAACTGCAAATCTTTTTTCTTAAAAAAAAAAATCACAATTCACAGCAGGTGAAACTCAATGGAGTGATGTTAACATGCCATGTATCCAAAAAAGATTTAGGGATAGCAGGAAGAGCCAAATAATTGCAATGAAAAGGACACTGTCGAGTAAATACATTTGAAGAGGCAGCCATCCAATCAGCAGAAGTAGCACAATAATTAACTTTTTTTTTGCTAGAACTATGACGACACCATTTTTTATGGTACTATATAAATACAAAAGCTAACAAAAGACAACCCGATTTTGCCTTGGGAAACATAAACAGGCGAAGTAAAAGAAATGAAAAACAAAGGATAAAGCTGAAAGGAAAATGCTGAGGTTGAAAGATATATAAAGAGTAGAAATTTACACAGAGAGACACATACACACACACACGCACGCACGCACACACACAGAGTCTACAGATAAAATACCTGACAGTGTCCCTTTAACATATTTATATAAAGGGGTAAAAAGTTGTTTGTTTTTTAAAAAATCCTTGAAAATTTAACAGGTAGTCAGTTACAACAGGAAGTCAACTTATTGGAATAAGACAGTGTTCTTGATACCCACTGGGCAAGAATTCAAACCATGCATACATACAAATACACACACACACACAAAACCCACTCACAAAACAAACATAGCTTTGAACAAAGTTTAGCTGTTCTAGTGTGTTAATTAGCATCCTCACTTGCTACTTTTTTCCCCCAATCTGACATTATTACATTTTAATTCTCTGAAGTTTGATTTGGTCCAATATGAAGCAAATATTACTTTATTCAAAATCTGCCCACAAAATTGCACAAATATTAATAGCCTTGGCATATCTGGTAAAGATATTACAATCTTGGTAGGCAGTTTATTAAGTGTGAATGCCATTTATTCATTAAAATGTTTCTCACTCAAATTACTGTTAATTCTTTTTTTCCAACTTGATTTTCATTCCTGTCCCTGCCGGCCAAACTATTAAAGCAACAGCCTATGTTGTAGTACCCTTTGCAAAGGGATGGACGTACACACATCTCTATTGCGCCCAAGAAGGGGGAAAACTGAGTTCATTAATTAAAATAAAAATGGAAAACCAATGCAAAATAAGGTGGATTCTGATGTACAACAATTTAACATTCTGAAGGATGAAAATGGGACTTTAGGAAATCTAAAAATAGCTTCACATTTTAATAAGTCTTACTGAAAATATCTTAAGATATGGAAAGATGCCATATCAATTGAATATTTTTTCTAAAAAAGATTTATGTTAACAGTCTTTAAGATAGGTTTGATCCAGCCCAGCTTTTATTTAATAATGGATTAAATTAAGAGAAAGGTATCCCAAAAGAGTGACGGCACTTTGCCCTTGAATTCATACGTAATGTCACATGTATGGGTTGGACAGACTTTAGATGCTAGAGATTAGTCGACTGTAACTGTCTTGAGATGAACTGATGAAGATGGCATAGAGTTACAAATGTGATGCTACACACAACTGAGTAAAAAGTGGATATGTTATACCCAAAATATTCCACAGCATGTAAGTGTCAAGAACATAGTGAAAGGACAAATTCACCCCTCCCTACCAAAACCTATGATTGTGCTCACAGCACAGCACTGTACAGTCTATCCTCACATTTGCTATATTCTGGTTGTAGATCAGAATGTGTTCAGTACGCTTGTGGTTGTTAAAACATGGTCATTTTCATCATTTAAGCTGGCATACAGAACTACAGAGAGCATGGCAGCACTGGAAAGCAAGTCCCTGACTGTGGAGATATAAGTGGGAAATAGTAGAGCATCTAACAGTGTATTTTTTACTTTGAAATCAAATTTATGTGGCTCCTGATGAAATGAGTATGACATCCCAGTCTAGCATAATTATTGCCCCTAATGCCCCAACTTAAGATATAGTTTGTATAAATCAATAATTTACACCCTTTGAATGTTATTGCTTAAGCAAACTATTCAGTGTAGATTGTTACAGCTGTGTGCAATGTAGTTGGATTAAAACAAACTTTAAATAGACTACACATGAACCTTTCACTGACTCATGTTTACAGAAATACATACTATCAAAAAGGGAAATAGGGAGACAGCAGCTAACAACCTAAACCAATTGTTGAAGCATCAAAACCTGCATTTTTATCAAAACGCCTGCTCTTTTTGTACTCCTTTTTTAAAATTAAGGCAATGAAATGGCTACAGTTCCTAAAGTTTTTTTAGGGAACAAAACATACAGCTTTTTTCCTCCTGAATCTCAGGCACCAGAAAAAATAAAAACCTGTATTACATAAACCTGTAATACTGGGTTGATATAGAAAAACAAAACAAATAAAACACAGAAGTTAAAAAATAAGCCCAACATTTGGTGATGTTTGTTTTTTTTCCCACTAGATCCTGAACTCAATCTTCAGAGAGGAAAAAAATAAAGCTTATAACAGCAAAACCTGTTAGAGTTTACAGAATACTCATCTAAAATGTTTTCAGTAACAAAAATTCTAACCTTTATCTGGCCATCTATGTTTAGACAAACGGGGGGAAAAGGCACTGAATATATATTTCATGGTGCCATATCTGTTTGCACATATATGGAATTTCATTCTGAAAATTTCAAATTGCCATTCATTCTCTACAACACACACGACAGATTGTGGCTAACACATAGTAGCAGAAGCTGATTCAAAGTTGACCTCTCCTGTGTCACTGAATTATATAACAAACTTTCAGGCTCTTCAAAATCCAAAACGACCAAAGAACCCAGAAACAGGAGCAAGACTTAGTCAACTTTCAGCGTTTCAGTGCATTTTGCAGAAAAGGTCTAAATTAAGCATATAGTTTTGTTGTTTATTTTACACAAAGGAGACCACCAACATTTGCCATAAATTCTTCTAAACTCTTCAGGAAGGCCATCTTCTGTTTACGATCCAGCGTGGGAGGAGTGCTGCTTGCAGTAAGCTTGTTGAAGGCATCTGCTAATCTCTGGTAAATGACTGGGTCTTGCTGACTTGACAGTAAAGTTTCAACCAATTCTGAGTATTCAGCCTAATGAAGAAACAATGCATTAAGAATAGAAATATGGTAACTGAGAGGAAAACATGGTTTTATAAGACTTTAAATACTACACACACACACACATACATAAGACTTTACATACTATAGACATATATAAGACTTTAAACACTATATTCTCCAGGTCATCACTGCTAACAATATATATTTATCAAATGTACTTTGTCCTTGGAAAATAATTTACCAAAATTATAGTGGGTTTAGTTTAATTGTATGTAAACAAAGATACAGCTAAGCCTCAGTTTCCTATACACAAAATGGAGATAATTCCATTTGTCCAGTCCAATTCACTCTGAGGTGATAAGTGCGGAAAGCATTCCATAAACTTTCAACTGCTACACAATCATTTCCATTTTAAAGATGAAGAAACTGAGGCTGATAGAGGTGAACAGACTTGTCCAGGGTTACACAGTTAATAAGTGTTTGAGGTAGAATTCAAACTCAGATCTTCCTAATTCTAACACCAGAGACCTCTCCATTATGAAGCAGAAGGGAGGAATATGACACAGCTAAAGAGATAAAATGAGGTCAGAGTGTGGAGAGTCCTAATTACCAGGCTATTAAAGAGTCTGAACTTTTTTGGAAGGCAACAGAGAGCCATGGAAGGGTTCTGAGTAGAGAAGTGCTATAACTAGGTCTATGCCTCTGCAAGACAAAGCTGCCAGAAATGTGAAGGACTGTTTGGAGAGGGAAGAATTGAAGCAGGAAAACCTGTTAAAAGGTTAGTTATGGCAGTGTCCAGGCATGTAGTAATGCTGTCCTAGATAAGGGAGAAAGAAACTGAAATAGTGAAGCAGGGATACATATAATAAGTTAAATGACAGGTTGTAACAGGAATGCAGAAGAGTCAAATATAATTCCAGGGTCTTTGATGAGAGACACATGACTTCAGTGTGAGCTCCGATTCTTTCATTTTTTAGCAATATGACCATAGGCAATTCACTTAACCTCTCTGAGTATGAGTTTTCTTTCCTTTAAAAGAATGACTGGAATTCTGCCTTAAGGAATATTGTGAAGAAACCCCTTTGAAAATATAAATTCAAGACTTATATGAACTGATGCTGATAAAATGAGCAGAACCAGGAGAACACTGTACACAGTAATAGCCACATTGTGTGATGACTGACTTTGATATACTTAGCTCTTTTCAGCAATGCAAAGGTCTAAGAGAACTCCAAAAGACTCATGATGGAAAATGCTATCCACATTCAGAAAAAAGAACCATGGAGTCTGAATGCAGATGGAAGCATACTATTTGCTCTCTTTTTCTTTTGTTGTTTTATTTCTTCTTTCTCATGGTTCTTCCCATTAGTTCTAATTCTTCTATACATCATGACTAATGTGAAAAAATGCTTATTATAAATGTATAAGTAGAACCTATATCAGATTGCATGCCATATTGGGAAGGGGGGAGGAGAGGAAGAGGGAGAAAATTTAAAACTCAAAATCTTATGGAAGTGTATGTTGAAAACTAAAAATAAATTATTAAAAAAAATTTCAATTCAATTCAATTCAAGGTGTATACTGTGGCCACGTCAAGGTATAGCTAAGGAAAGATGAACAAAAGAGTCACTGGAGTTGAAGAATTGTTTGGACGAATCGCTAACGTGAATAATGAAGCCTTGAGAATTACAGCAAGGTAGGGGCAGAGAGAACTACAATTCAGCCAGATGCTGAATTCACTGAGGAGATTAAGAATATAAACTGGAGACTAGTGGATTCTAGATAAAAGAATGGAGAAGAGAGGATGATGACTATCTTCAAGAACAGTATATTTTAACTGAGAATTAAAGCTAAAAATTATGGAAGATAATAGCTCAGTAAAAACAAAAAACTAGGGGTGGGGGAAACGCATTGTAGAATCTTTTTTTTTTTTGTCTAGGTAATGGAGTTAAGTAACTTGCCCAGGGTCACACAGCTAGTAAGTGTTATGTGTCTGAGGCCACATTTGAACTCAGGTCCTCCTGAATCTAGGGCTGGTGCTTTATCCCCTGTGCCACCTAGCTGCCCCTTATGGTAGAATCTTCAGCACAGGAAAAGCAAAACACTAAATGGCAAACCAACTTATTCCCAGATCTTTCGTAACTGTTAGAACTCTCTGGATAAATAATAATAGCTGACATATATGTAAAATGTTTCAAGGTTTGAAAAATACCTTATTTATTTTCTCTATCTCCTTTCTTCTTGACTTCTCTGAAGGACCTGATGTGGTAACCACTCTCTCCTAGATAGATACTACTTTCTGAGGCTTTTCTCCCACCATCCTCTTTTGTCTTTGAGGACTGTTAATCATCTACATCACTTCCTAATGTGGAGGTACCTCAAGACTCTAGACTGGACCTTGTTCTTTTTTCTCACCACCCCCTTTTCACTTGACTCTGAAGGGCTGAATTTTATCCCTAAGCAGAGGACTCCAACATCTATCCATCCAGCCCCATACTCTTTCCTGAGCCCCAGTTCTATATCACTCAGCATAGCACATTTCTAATAGGATGCTGTACAGACATCTGCACTTCCCTATTTCTGATCTGTCAAGGGTACCACCATCATTACAGTCTCCTAGGTTTGTAGCTTCACCATTATCCTCGACTCTTCATTCCTCCTCATCTTAATCTTACATGTTGCCAATTGTTGCCATTTCTACCTCCATAATATCCCTGATATCCATCCCCTTCCTCACCACTCACATATCTCACACTTACATACTCACTTTACCTCAGTTTCTGATTGTCTCTTGCCTAGACTATTGCAATGGCTTCCTAATTGGCCTCCTTACCTCAAGTCTCTTCTACCCACTCCAATCTATCTTCCCACACAGCTACAGTGATGCTCCTTAAGTGCATGTAGGACAATGTGACTCCTCTACTGAATAAACTCCACTGGTTCACTACTGACTTTAAGATTAAATATATAAACTCTTCTGTTTGGCATTTAAAGGTATTTACAACTTACCTTTTGCCTCATTACACATACTCCCCTTCTCTCACACAATGGAAGGAGTTCTTAATGTGTGGTGCATTAACTCCATTTTTAAACATTTTAATAACGATAATTCAATATAATTGGTTTCCTTTATAATCCTATGCATTTAATTTTATGTATTTATTCTAAGAAAGAGTTCATGGGCATCACTAGACAATCAAAGGGGTCCATAATATAAAAAATGTTAAGAACACCTGCTCTTTGGTATAACCAAACTATCCCAATTGCTGTTGCCTGAACACATTCCATCTCCCCGTCTTTGAACTTGCCCCTGTGCCTAGAATGCACTCTCACCTCATCCTTGTCTCATAGAATTCCTTATTTCCTTTAAGACTCAGCTCAAATTATTCATAATGCTTTCAAAAGATATGCTGCACTGATTGCTTATTAACCACAAATGACAACTATGTAAATTTTATATTGATGTAATGAGACAGCAGCAGATAGTACAAAGAATACTGGGTTAAGAGTCAAGAATCAGGTTCTAGTCCTGGGTTTGTCATTAGCCTTGACTTGTGGCAAGTCCCTTTATCTTGGGGAGGGGGTCTCAGTTTTTTCAGTCTATAAAATGAGAGGACTAGATTAACTCCTTTCAAGCTATATAATTATATGATTTCATCTTTGTGGAGGGCAAAGTTAAGGTTGATGAGGGCAGTAAGCACTGCAGCCTGACTGGTATCAGACTCAAAGCACTCAGCAATAGAATGTTTTTGAACAGACTACTCATGATATCGGAACCACTGGCAAGTAATCTTTTTATATATAACCTTGTATGATACAGGATTTAAGTCTCAAAAATCTTGCTTACACAACCCTAATCAAACTACTAGAAATAAATGTTGGTATAAATATGGTGGTCAACGCCAGATGACCAAGCTATGAAAAGCAAACAGAAAATAGTTTAGTACTCCCTGAAACAACATAGTTAACTGAAGCTCAAAGGGTTCTCTAACAGTCTCTCTGGACAAATCATAATAGGTCTCCCATGTTATTTTTATGTACAATCCAAAATGTAGATTTCCTTTTTTTTTTTTGGTTCAGAACTTATCACAGTGCTCAGCAAATAGTAGGCAATTAATAAAAACTTGTTGATTTGTCAGATCAATCCTGGCTGACACACACAACAGCGAGAATATTTATAAAATGATTTAACTTCTGAAACACTTCAAAATAATAAACATGTAATACCTGATGCAAACACACTAACGTGTAGAATGCTTCGCCTGCTGCAGTTGTCATCTCTGTGTTATGCTTTTGCAATACTAGCATGTCAAAGACCAGCTGAAATCATACAACAAATGAAAGTTCTTAAATAGCACACTGTCATGTAATATATTTTGAAAAATCAAGGTAAAAGATGGGACTCACAAATCTACTCAATCATCCTTCCCATATGTATTGATTTTAAAAATGAGAAAACAAAACATTGTTATAAATTTACCAGGTCAATTACAACATTTACAGAAGTAGCATTTAACGTCTATGAACAATACACTATCAATATTTAAAATTAGAAGGCATAATGTTGTTTATACAATTATAAAATTTCCCAACAGTTTTTAATCACAACAATTTTAGAGTTTCAAAATAAAGTTGTTGGAAGAATTCAATGTAAGCTCTTTTTCTAGGCTAGACCTATAATTTCATTGTTATAGAGAAATCTTTGGGAGCTTAGGATGGGTGATTGGGAACTTTCTCTACCAGTGAAGACTGGCATCTGCCGTATAATGTACATCCACAGAGAGTAATTTGAATTTACAAAAGGATTTTTATATAATTTTACATTCTCAAAAAACTTAAAAGAGAAATAAGAACTATCTGAAATCATCACATGATTTTGCAACATTCTATCTATATTACTTACCTTAAGAAAGTGCCTTGTTGCTAGAAAGAGTGGTGAATCTGTTTCTTGTGCTTTTGCACACTGTTCAGCTAATGGAGTCAAGGCCTCCAGACAAAGCTGGCAAACCTCAGAACTCATTCTGATCATAAGAGTCAAAGAATAAAATAGATTTATATGGTCCTTGTTGGTGCGCTCAATTTATCATTAAATGATTTTTTTGAACAGTAACAGAAAAATTCTAACTACCGATTTTGGTGACAGCTTTTCTAGCTATGAATATAGACAATCAAGCATCTTAACCTCTGTGATCTTTAAAGATCTGCAGTTTATTCAGTTTGGGTAGACCTTACACTGAGGCAGAGTATAATATTATACGTAGATAGTTTCAGTAGCTATAGTGGCTAAAAAAGATTTATCACTTTGTGGACAAACATCTAGTAATAAGTCTCCCCAAACTTAGTGAGGCTGGTCCTTAGAGAACAGATAAATAATTTATGGCTGAATTTGTAATTGAAACCTTCCCAGTTCAGTACAACTTGCCAGAGTTTAAACTCTACTGGAATAGTCTTCAAGAATTCCTTGCTACAATGACTCATGGGAGCAGAACTGTGCTACCTGGCACTTAAGAAAAAGGAAACTAAAGTCATATGGAGATGGCTTACTTAAGTTTTAGGAACTGCTATAGTTAATAGCTCATTTCTAACACATACAACAGATGAAAGGATACAGTACTCTATCATTAGGGACAGTCTATTGGCAGTGAAACAATAAATAAATACCCTGAACCCACACCAGTGACACAAGATGAGTGCCTATTATAAACTGAGACTTAATTAAGAAATAACTGGGACATAAGCCCAAATGATTATGGTAAATTACTTACAGCCTAACAAAAGATACAACAAAATGAAGATAGCTGAGAAAGTACAATAGTTTTTGATAAGACAAAAGTGAACTAAAGGAGAATAAAAATCTCAAATATGTCATCCTCTGTCCAAAATGTCAAGTTATACAATGCTCATTCATTTAAAGGATACGATGTCATTCCCAGTTCTAGGGAGTACATCAAGCTCTTAAATAGGTCTTCAGGAAGCTGTGGAATTTTCTCAGGAAAGATCTCGCAGATAAATGTAATCAACTTGTAGTACTGATTACAAAGGGTTGGAAACTGTCAAAGAAGCATATTATTACAAATATTATGTCTTACCTAAACAAATAAGAGCAATGATACTTTTTCATGTCAACTAGATAGAATAAAAACCAAGCAAATAACCAAGTAATATTTAGGGGAGGGTAGATACAGAAAAATATCACATTATATAACACTCTTACAACACTGGGTTAACCTCTGCCCAAAGGACAATAGAGAAAGGATTTGTACAGGTAACAATCCTGACTTGTTATTCAAACTTGGCTTTGAAACTTGTCTAATTTAACGCTCCTCAAAAAGAATATGATAAGTACTAAGAAAAATAATAGCTGTTTGCCCTTTCTCTTAATTTTGAAAGAAGTTAACAGAAGAAATAACAATGAGAAGAGAGGGGCTTGATAATTATAGAGACCTCAGTTGCCACAAGGACAGATCCTCACTTAGCATAGCCTAATTTGAACACAACAGGCTATTCCAAACCACTAGGGTTACTAAAAGATATAGAGGCTAAAGTGAAGGTTTGAATAGGTGGGTTGGAGATAAATTTGGGGGTGGGGTGGAAGGATAACAAAAATGTAGTAAATGATAATACAGCTTTTTTTTAATGAAAAACTTTATTTTTATTTAGCATCACCTTGCATACATAAGAATACTGGTATAATTCATTCTGTAACATCTTTAAAAATAATTATTTTTGATTACCATGTTTTTGTTCAATTACCTTTAAAAGATCTTGGGACATCAAAGGCAAAATTAGGTTTACTCCATATAAAACAACATCTGCTGCTGACACTGATCTGTTTGCTGCTTGTCCTGGCTCATGTCCTCTAAATACTTCATCTATTGAAATGAAAGTAACAAACCTTTAGAGTTACATCATTAAAAATAAAAAGTTTACAAAATTATGTTAAAACACCATGCACAGCCTTTGACCAAGAGATATTGCTACTGGGTCTGTATCCCAAAGAGGTAAAAGAAAAAGGACTCATAGGTACAAAAATATTTAGAACAGGTCTTTTTGTGGTAGCAAAGAAAAACTGAGGGGGACAGTCATCAATTGGGGACTGGCTTAACAAGTTATGATATATGAATGCAATGGAATAATTCCAGAAAAACCTAACAATAACTGATGCAGAGTAAAGTAAGCAGAACCAATTTATATAAGCAGAGAACAATTTATATAATAACAACAATATGATAAGGACAATAAACAAGAAAAACTTAGGAACTCTGAACAACACAATGACTAACCACAGTTCCAAAGGAATCATGACTGAACATGCCATCCACCTCTCAAGAGTGCAGATCAAGGCATATTTTGGGGGCAGCTAGGTGGCACAGTGGATACAGCACTGGCCCTAGAGTCAGGGGGATCTGAGTTCAAATCTGGCCTCAGACACTTATTAGGGGAAGTCACTTAACCCCACTGCCTAGACAAAAATTTAAAAAAGGGCATATTTTCTTTCCCCTTTTTTCTTTCTTTTTGATTAAAGTAATATGGCAATTTGTTTTGTACAACTATACGTATTCATAATGGGCTTTGGTTTTTTTTGCTCTCTCAATGGGTAGAAGAGAAGCAGAGGGAGAAAAATCTGAAAACGAAAACGAATAAAAAACCCCACAAAATTAGGTTAAAATAAACTTCAAAATAAAATATGCTTCAGACCAGAAAAAAAAGGCAGTGGATTTAAAATGTATCAGATAAATTCTGTCATTGTGCTGATGGAGCGAGCACTTCATAACTGCTAACACAGATGATTATGTTCTTTCAAAAGTTTGACAAAGCAAAAATATGAGGAAATAAATATGGCTAGAGAGAAATAAAATGGTATAGAGGTCAAATGAATTTTTTAATAGAATTTTTCCCACATTAATCCTTTTATTACTCAGACTTACAGGTGAAACCTCTGTGTTGTTTCCCCTGTATTAGAACATGAGCTTCTTGAGAACAGTGACTGTCTCTCCTTTTCTACTTGTATCTCTCTAGCACTTTTCATATAGTAAGCTCTTACTAAATGGTTTTAGATTCATCTATCCATCAATTCATTCATTCAACAGAAACTTCAAGATAGCATAATAAAATGACAAGTATAGCATGGATCACCTTTAAGGAATTTTCTATTCTTACAGTGATAAAGGAAGTCCATTAGCAAAAAAAAGAAAAATTATCTTTAAACACTGATTTGGATTCCCCATATAAAAGCAGCCCAATGAATTATGTTAGGGGTTTCCAACATATGAGATTAATGACTGCAGTCACTCTAAATACTCTTCAAAACCATCAACACATCTAACACTGTCATTTTTATTTTTATGTAAGTGATGACAAAATGGTCAGCACTACATAAATAAGCAGACTGTCATAAATTTATGTATTGTTATTTTTCAAATGTGAAGATGCTATTATAGATAATAAAATTCATTTAAGAACATTCCTGAGCTCTTAGTAGTTTTTTAATAACAATGGTAATTATAGTTAATATTTATATGATGCTTTAAGGTTTGCAAAGTGGTTTTTCAAATATCTTGTCTGCCTCACATTGAGGCAGACAAGTGAAGTGATTTAGCCAAGGTCACACAGCATTTGTCTGAAACAGAATTTGAATTCAGGTCTTCCTGACTCCAGGCCCAGCTCTCTATCCACTGTACCCACTATTTTCTTAGTCAACAGATGCTAAGAATACAACTATCATAGGTTTTTTTTTTCCTTGTGAGGCAATTGGGGTTAAGTGACTTGCCCAGAGTCACATAGCTAATGAGAGTTTTGTGTCTGAGGTTGGATTTGAACTCAGGTCCTCCTGACTCGAGGACTTGTGCTCTATCCACTGCGCCACCTAGCTGACCCTTTTTTAACATCAATTTTTTTTTTTTACTTTATGACAATTTTTTTACATTTAAAAGGGAGCTTTTATAACAAAAGGGTCGGGAACCAATGAACTCTGATTTCAAATCTGGAGAAAATGGACACCATTACAAGGCTCAGTGGTTATTCCTCCTCCATAACTACTACTTTCCTTAACTACTCCAATTCACAGCAGGAATTACCCTTTGTTGAGCTCTTGCTACCCTTAAGGTGAGTACCACATATCTTAGAAATTATTCTCTTTCAATGACTACAGTAATCTATTATTTGATAAACCCAAAGACCCCAGCTTCTGGGATAAGAACCCACTCTTTGAAAAAGACTGCTGGGAAAACTGGAAAAGAGTATGGCAGAAACTAGGCATAGACCCAAATCTCACACCATATACCAAAATAAAGTCAAAATGGGTTCATGATGTAGCTATAAAGGCTCATACTATAAGCAAACTGGGAGAACAAGGAATAGTTTACCTATCAGATCTGTGGAAACAAGAATTCATGACCAAACAGGAGATAGAGAATATTACGAAAAGCAAAATGGATAATTTTGATTACATTAAATTGAAAAGTTTTTGCACAAACAAAGCCAATGCAACTAAGATTAGAAGGAAGGTAAAAATTGGGAAAGAATTTTTACAATCAGTCTCTTTGATAAAGGCCTCATTTCTAAAATATATAGAGAATTAAGACAAATTCATAAGAATACAAGACATTCCACAATTGATAAATGGTCACAGGATATGAACAGACAGTTCTCAGATGAAGAAATTAAAGCCATCTATAGTCATATGAAAAAATGCTCTAAATCATTATTGATTAGAGAAATGCAAATCAAAACAACTCTGAGGTACCACATCACACCTATCAGATTGGCCAACATGACAAAACAGGAAAGTGATAAATCTTGGAGAAGATGTGGGAAAATTGGAATGCTAATGCATTGCTGGTAGAGTTGTGAAATGATCCAACCATTTTGGAGAACAATTTGGAACTATGCCCAAAGGGCTATAAAAATGTGCATACCCTCTGACCCAGCAATAGCACTTCTAGGGCTATATCCCAAAGAGATCATACAAATGGGAAAAGGACCCACATGTACAAAAATATTCATAGCAGTTCTTTTTGTGGTGGGGCAAAGAATTGGAAATTGAGAGGATGCTCATCAATTGGGGAATGGCTGAGCAAGTTGTGGTATATGAATGTAATGGAATATTATTGTGCTATAAGAATTGATTAACAGGCTGACTTAAGAAAAATATGGAAAGACTTGTATCGTCTGATGCTAAGTAACGTGAGCAGAACCAGGAGAATGTCGTATACAGTAACAGCCATGTTGTGCGATGACTAATATTGATAAACTTAACCCTTCTCAGCAATACAAGGATCTAAGACATCTCCAGAGGCCGAGATAGAAAATGCTATCCACATCCAAAGAAAGAACTATGGAAGTTGAATCGCTATCATTTTTTTTCTCTTCTGATGAGTTTTGTTTCCTCTTTCTGATGGTTCTTTCTATTGGTTTTAATTTTTACTTACAACTTCACTAATGTGAAAGTATGTTTTAATAGGAACGTAAATGTATAGCCTATATTAGATTGTGCACTGTCTTGGGGAGGGTGGAGGAAGGAGGAGAAAAATTTTAAACTCAAAAGCATATGGAAGTGATTGTTGATAAATCAAAAGAAATTAATAAAATTAAAATAAAAGAAATCATTCACTTAAGTTAGGGAGTCTTACCTTTTTGTGTATCATGAACTCTTCTGGCAATCTCTGATATAATTACCCCCCTCCAAGAATAATGTTTTAAGATATATAAAATTAAACATATAGGAGTATTAAAGGAAACCATGGAAGCAGCTAGTCGGTACGTCAGATAGTGTTCCAGGCCTGAAGTCAGGAAGACTCATCTTTCTGAGTTTAAATCTGATTTCAGACACTTCCTAGCTGTGTGACCCTGGGCAAATCACTTAACCCTGTTTGCCTCAGTATCATCTGTAAAATGGACTGGAGAAGGAAATAGCAAACCACTTCAGTATCTTTGCCAAGAAAACTCCAAATGAGATCACAAGGGGTCAGACAGAAGTGAAACGAATAAACAACAACAAAAGGAAACCAAAGGTTAGTGAAAATAAAGGTGTAATTTTACCCCCACCTAAGCCCACAGAACTCTATCTGTGGATTCCTACACTAAAAAACCCTGCTCTGAGGATTTCATGTTTTTTAATCTTCTCTCGCCAGAACATTAATAGCTTTTTTGATATGGTATAGTCATTTCTGGATATTAACCTTCCACCTTTTTTCTCCTCAGTGACTTTCCTGGTAACAAAGAAAAAGATAAAACAGCTATTCTCTTGTTTTTGAAAATTTTTTCAAGCTGATTTAAAATCCCCATTAAAACACTACTAAACTTTAAATTATTAAAATGCAACATTACATAATTAAACTCAAGGATAGCAACTGTGAAAACAACTTGAAACATACCCATTTATCCAGTTACACTACCATAAAACCACACTTATTTAACCTTCCTTCTCTGTATCTCTTAATCTCATTTAAAGTATTTTCCACACAAAATTCTCATGCATAATACTTGAACCCCTTATTCACCATGGGAAAAAAATGATGTCTCATGCGAGCTTTAATATTATCAGTTTTATAGGTAATTACTTTTTGATAAAGCAGAGCAGACAACAGAGTTGACAGTTTTCACTTAAGAAATGCTTTTTTCATTCCTTTACTGATAGGAGACAACTGGGAAAACAACAAAAAAACAACCTAAAGAAACAACTGGCTTTACATTCTCACTGGGCCAGTTTCCAAGGAGAATAAAGAGTCAACACTCTATTTTGGCTCTGTCTAGTTGTCTTATTGTCCTTCTACTTTTTCTAGGATATAGCAGGAAGTATGATTAGCAATGAAGTATGTTAGTACAGCCAGAGATCAAGACATCTTCAAATCTCCCAAGAAAAATTAGAAAAGGGAGTTTAGGCTTCAGATGCTTCCTAGTTCTTTTCTTCATTGATAATTTATGTAGTTGCTACCATGAACCTAGCACTGTGCCAGGTGCTTAAAGGGATGCACATGAAGTCCCTGTTCTCTAATTTATAACTTATTTGGGAATCTATTTGGGAGGTAAAACATATGCATGACAATTAAATAACAACGTAAAGTACTCAGTGATCAAATGCTAAAATAAGTGGTAAAGACAATGGATTTCTGAAAAAGGGAAATATGACAGGCTTCTAGAGAAGGTATCATGGAGGAAAGTTGGTACATTTCATTCTGTCTCTTTATATCGTCAGTGCCCAATAAGTACTACATGCCTGACACGTAGAAGTAGCTGAATGAATACTTGTTGGTTATTCTATTTCCTGTCTTCTATTCTATTATTTGAATAAATTTAATGGCTTTTCTATGTGACAACTCTTCAAATACTTGGAGACAGCAATCCTGTTTCTTTAATTCTTCTTTTTTAGGTTAAACATTCTATTTTTTTAATTAAGCCTCCTAAAATGTACTGTGAAGTGAAGGTGTTCTCTATTTTGATACTGCTAGAGTGGTAATGATACAACAAGATTTTGTCAACAGGTTTCCCTAAGATTAACTCCCTTAAGTAACCCTGTCAAAGTGGCATAATTCCATATCACTGCCACATTGTTTCCCTTGCTTCTACAGTTCTTCCTTTAAAGGAGAGGGATACTTTAACTTCAGTCGAATCAAACAATAAAATTATTTACTGAATACCCTCTACCTATGTTCCTTAAATACCTCACAATGGAAGGATGCTGCAAAGTAAGTAATCATTAACTGAAAAACATGTGAAAATGTACTTTTGGGAAGCATCAGATTTGGTCAGGCTTTATGTAACTTATCTCTCATAATTATATGTTCTATAAAAATAATATTACATTTTTAAGTGCCAGGATTGTATTTTAAAAGCCCTTATCTAAATATTCATTGTCATTTCCTTAAGACATTTATTTCTTAGCCAACTACACTTAGTTTACCTTTTTCTCTGAAACAGAAATAAATACATGAAACTGGCTGTACTTTCCAACAACTCCAACTGTCCAAAAATGGGCTGCAGTAGGTAGTAAATTCCATCTCATTAGAGAACTTTCACAGGCTGGATGTCTATTTGTTAGAGATGTTATAGAGCTAATTCTTGGTCTGGCATGTGTTGGATTAGATGGCCTCAAGTTGCTTCCAATTCAGATTCTGTGATTTAAGCTGAGAGGAAGAATTCATTGGATATATACAGAAATTCCATCTTCCATCTCTGTGCCTTTTTCAAGGCTGCTCTCCAGTCCTAGAAAGCAGTGCCTCCCTCCTCATTTCTCTCTCTTAGAATGTGTAATTCCCTTCAAGTTTCAGCTCAGGTGACATCATACACAAAGCCTACCCTGAACCCTACCTCTCAATCCCTAGGTGTTAGTGAGCTTTCTCTCCCCAAAGTATCTTGCATTTATTTATCTGTGTTTGTGTTGTATCTCTACAAACAGAATGAAAGGTTCTTGAAAGGAGAAGGCTGTTTTATTGGACTCTGCACATCCCCCATTTACTCTTTCCCCAGCAGAATGCTGGAAGAGACCCTTAAATAAATGGTTGTGGGAATAAACTGTGAAAAGCAACATGTCAGTGGGGAGATATTCTCTAAGTATGAAAATGTAACTGGTGAAAAGTCAAGAACAAATCTATGGATCTGAGAATCACTACTACATGGGGACTTGTATTGAGGATCCCAGAAATGTTAGTCCATGAGAGGTCTTAGGACAGAGAGTAGTCAGGAAAACTGTGTAGAAAAAACAATCAAGTAACCAGTGAATGTTAGAACTAGAGGTATATTAGTGATCATTTAGTCCAATCTCCTCGTTTTACAGATGAGAAAACTGAGGCCTCACTCCCAGGAGTGAAGGGCCTTCACACAAAGTCTCACACTGAGTTAGTTGCAGAGCCAGAACTTAAGTCCAGGTTTCCTGACTCTCAATCCTGGGATTTTTCCATAATATGATTCTGCCTCTGGAACTTAAGTTTCTTTTACACATTAAAAAAAGGAAACAAACAAAAAAACCCCAACAACTGCCATATTAAAAAATAACACAAGTACAGAAATGATATCACAGAAGCCCTACTCACATCACACTGAACAAAAGGAATGTAACTGGAGAAATGCTGTCACTAAGGTCCTACTGTGAGGTAGGGCCAGTTCGCAAAAGATTAGGGAGGCCATTGTGGAGATTTAGTTAACACCTAAGGATAAAAAGTATTAACAGAGGAAAAAGAAGAATATTCCAAAAGGATGGGATGGCTAGTAGTTCAAAAACTGAAATCTGAAACTCTAAATTTAAGTATCCTCTTCTGAACCATTTCACACATCCTCTCTTAATTCCTGGAAGTTCCTAAACTAGTATGACGGAACAAGAATCAGATACTAGGTTCATTTCCTTATTTTTCAGTGTAATTATTTGGAGAAATCGTGCAAGAACATGAGGGTATTTAATTGCTGGTCTACTCATACCTGTATCACTGAAATCTATGAATTCTTTTGACAGAAGGTTAGTAAGAAGTTCCATAATGAGAAGGAGATCTTGATATTGTTCCTCTTCTGCTGTAACATCTATCCGTTGCCGACCTAGATTGTTCTTGGAATACACTTGCAACAGAGTGAGGCAGGCCTCATACAAGTTCATAGCTTTGGACTGCAAGAAAAAAAAAACTTGAGAAGTAAATTATATTATACGGCAGAGCATTCTTGGGAAAACAAAAAAAAAAGCATCCTTTTTTATGTAATCTAGATAAATTTGTAATCAGATCAACAGCTGTCAGACTGACTTCTGCTTATTCTGAAACAATAATGAATAAAAAGTAAATACTAAGACTGCAAAAATGCTTAAAATATTAATAAAAATGACAAAACTCTGGTTCACTGGCTCAGGCTTTACATTTTCAACTTAATACTAAGTAGCCAGGGCAAGACACTGCCTTGCTGGGACCAGGTTCCTCATTGGCAAAATGAAGAGAGAAAGGCCTTGATGATTCACTAATATCCAATGATTAAATACCCAAACACTATCTAGCTCCCTTTTTATACAAATATTTTTAAGTGCTTTGCCCTTGCTGTGCTGCCAACCAGTGATTTTATAACAAGTCATTTAGATATTAAATTAGATGACTTTTAGAAAGGCTCCCATGGAAAGTGTACAAATGGACATGCAATTATTACATTTATTCCCTATCATGTTCTGCTTATAAAGATCTACTTATGAAAAGGAAAAGAAAAGGAATAATTTCATAAACTCTAACTACCTGCCTATTCATTAATGGATCTGTTACTATAATACTTAGAAATATAAGCTTACTTTTGGGCAGGTTCCTCAGACCTAACAAAGAGAAAATTACATGTCAGGAGCCTATAAAGACTGGTTTGGGACAAGATATATACTAATGTGCTAACAAATACAAATAAAAATCCTTGAATTCTAGCTACCAAACTGTCTTTCTAAAGTAATATCTTTACAGTTTAGTTTTTCTTAGCAAACAGGTAAGAATTTAGTGAATGTATACACTCTTCCCTATGATTTACAAGTGAGAGATATGGAAAGCACTTATTTTAAATCTCCATGTTCTACTATTGTGTTTTAGTACAGCAGGATCCTATTACATGAATAAATATTCCATCAATTTGTTCTTCCATGGATACATCATTTTGATGACTCTAATTCTGTAGCCTATTTCACTACAAATAAATTAAGAGATAATTAACACATCATTTTGGAAGTGGGAATTTTATTTATTAAGCATGCTTATTCCTTGATAAATGTATTTCAACTAGTCTATGATATTTCTGCAAATCTTTGGGGAAATGAGTATTTCCAGCTGCTATTCACTAGAGAAGATAGTATAACCATGATGTTCTTTAATTTTATTACAACTACTATTACTCTGTATCCAAAAGGGATAAAATCAGATAGTGTTTACCTCTCCCAGATAGCAAATCTGTTTATGTGCAACTTCAACAAAAACTTCTATTATGAGATTAACAGTCTCTGGGGTGTTTTTGTAAACTTCCATCAGTCCAATGCAATTAGTAAGGAAGTCCATTAGGAAATTAAAGAGGATTGCTACATTGTCAATCTGAGTCGCCTCAGCAATGCCACAGAGTGCCTCTAATGTGGCAGTTATTTCCTGTTTGACCTCTTCTTCTTGACATATTTGCTGAAAATTTTCTTGATTTATCACATTCAAGAATCTTTGCTGAAGTGGCTGTAGAACCTATAAAAACAAGACATCAATGCTGATATTTTAGAAGCTGGAAGCCTAAGTAGGCAAAACTATTCTTATGGTTCAAGGGATTAAGTATTCTGAACTAAACTATCAATTGTTCAGTGTAAGGGGTGGTCAACTTCAGAATACAAAGCAGATACAGAAGTTATATATCATTCCCTGCCTACTCACTATTCTGCAGATGGCATTAGGGGAAGGTGCTCTGTCACCATACCACATTTCTGCACTAAACGGCTAAAGCACTCTAATACTGAGCCCACACTGTCACAGGTCCAACAGAAATCCTCTTCCTCCCATTATTTTAGCACATGAAATAAAAGCTCTGCTAATACCTCCCCTGCCAAGGAGTATTTTCCCCACATATACAGAATACTTAATAACAACTTTTACAATAGGCCAAAACAGTGTGAATTAAGCAAACTACTACTGGAATAATTTAAACTGGAATTAAATAGGATAATAATAAGCTTGGTTCTCCCCTTTGAGCCCAGGATAATGCTGGCTAATAAATATGTTCCTGTGGTATAGAAGAGTTAGGAACCGCCCACTTTACGGTGAATTTGCATGGATTCTAGAAATGAGTGTTAAAATTCCTGTTGTATAGAGAAGAACTGTAAAACTCTTGTCCCAGAGTACTAGCATTACCCATCATGCAAACACAAGAGTACCACCTACATGTAGATACCAATTCAAGTCTCTTTAGAGCCATATGACCATGTCAGTGGTCCAATTAATTCTCTTTTGTATAGTATTTTTTCTATCAACACAAATTTGAAATGTTGCCCTACCTACAAACTGTCTCCTTTATAAGTGTGCTTCCATCTTTCTAACAGTCTACTCTTAAGAAAACGAGGTTCAGTAATAACTGGGCAGAAACTCGTCCAAATGTTAACATTCAGTAATTTTCAATACCATCACAAAAGAAATGTTACATGGCATTAAGACAATAAAGTAAACTTAGGGAAGAAACACTAATAGGTTGATATCATAAAGACTAAGCAACTAAAATTAGTTTTTTAATAAGTTGCTCTGGTATCATATAGACAATTATAATTTTGTTTCACTAGAAGTTACAAATGAGATATATAAAATATTACCTCTGTCCAGTACTGCTGTTTTGTATCAGTGTCCATATGAGCAAAACCTCCTAAAACTAGAGCCTTCATCAATGTTCTCTGCACAGAACTTGACAAGAGGTGAAGAGGTGGGCTTCTTCTCGCAAACTGTTTAGCTAAATTCCACCAATTTTCACATTTAATTACTAAGTTTGCCCTATATGGGAGAGGAAAAAAGCAAACCCAACATAAAGTCAGCTGCTTACGTTGAACTTAAGGGCAAAGTTTATCAGCAGAAAGACCTGAAGTTCTACACTTAAAGGACGACTATGCAAAGAAAAGCTCTTCAAAATATTTTACAAAGGACTTTACAAATATGAGCCAGGTATCACAAAGACTGGAATATTAGAGTGCAGTTTCAATTTATACAGGTACTAAACACAATTAAAAACAAACTACACACATAACTAAAGGATCATAGATTTAGAGCCTGAAGGAAGCTAAGAGATCATGCAAACCAAGGATTTTTACAGATAAGGAAGCTAAAATCCAGAGAAGTTAAATCACTTGGGGGCGGCCTGGTGAATAGAGCTCTGGCCTTGGAGTCAAGAGGACCTGAGTTCAAGTCCAGCCTCAGCCACTTGACACTTACTAGCTGTGTGACCCTAGGCAAGTCACTTAACCCCAATCACCTCACCAAAAAGCAAAAAAAAAGAAGTTAAATCACTTGATGAAAATCACAAAGGTAGTAAGTAGAACTGAGATTTCAACCCAGATCTTTGACATCAAATCTGAAGCCTTTTCTACTCTATCATGTTGTCTCCTCTAGAGTATTAAAAAATAAGCAGTGTCAGAATTTATTAGGGTTTTTTTTTGAAGGGGGGGTTGGGGATAGGGAGGCAAGTCATATGTCTCATCCCCTCTTTTTTTCATATTCAACTAGAAAAATCTTATTTGTTGCTCTGGAAAAGGATGTAAAGGATCTATTATTGTAGTTGCATCAAGAAAATATTTCATCTGAACATCATCCATCCTCTCTTCTCACTGTTACCTTTATGATCAAAGCATAAATTTATTTAGTAATGGTTAACTAAAAAATTCAGTTACCTGACTACCCTAATCCATGAACATATATAATAACTATTACTATAAAAGCTAAATTCTTACTAATGAATATATCATGTTAAACATCTTTATATACCCCCTTTTTTCTGATAATCTTCCTCTAAAACTATTCTGATAGTAAGAAAAGACATTACACACACACATATATATATATATACACACTGTACATATACATATATATATATATGTATTACATACTATATATCTATGTACAGTATATATAAAGGCCCTTTTCATCTAACTTAGATTTTAGTATACAAGTGACTGTTTAATAATAATAATAACAATAATAATAAATAATAGTAGTAGTAGCAATAGCAGCAGCCACCATTTGCACTTACTAAGTACCAAGCACTGTGCTAATTATAAACTCATTTGATCCTACAACAACCTTGGGTTTTGTCCCCATTTTACAGATGGGGAAACTGAGGCAAACAGAGGCTAAGTGATTTGCCCAAGGTCACACAGCTAGCAAGTGTCTGAGGCCAAATCAGTGCCCCGATTCCAAGTCTGGTGCTCTATCCAATGTGTCATCTAACTGTCCATAAAATATAAGGTTTGACAACTTGTAGGACTAAACTGACCAAGAGACAATTGAAATTGTAAGAACAATTTCTCCTCATGTTTATTAAGTGCTTTCAGGCTTATAAGTGCTTTTCCTACAACCTAGTTATATAAATGCTACAAATTTTATTACTCTCATCTTATAAAAGAGGAAATTGAGGTCCAGAAAGGTTAGGTATTTTTCCTTTGTTATAGAACTAATAAATGTTGGACCTGGAATATGAACCTAAGACACCTAAATCCAAGTCTAGCTTCTTTCAACTATAGCACAGTTGTAAGATGAGTATTATATGGACTCCTGTCTTTACAAACTGCAAAACAAAATAACCAAAGAAAATACAAGGCAAGAATCAAAAAATCTATCAGCATACTGATTTCAGATTAGCTAAAAATATTTGATTCAACATTAAAATGGGAAGAGTTCTGTTATGAAAAAATGATTTATCATTCTGAATTGCAATAGTGGTATAACTATGAAAAAAACCTTTCTATCCATTTTCTACTTAATTAAAATTACTATGCTTACTAATGAACCACGCTCTTTCATCTTTAAGAAGAATGAAAAATTTCCATTGGAAAGGACCTCACTTACCACTAGCTAGGATGTGTGATTTCTGAGTTAGGTATATTAATTAAACACAATGCTAAACAAACAAATAAATCTAAAAATACAGAATTAGTCTTGTACTTTTCTTCCATCATTTAGTCATTATTCAATTTAAGTGAATAAAGAGAGAGCAGGGATACGCTATAAACTCTGACGTAGGTGTTCACACAATTGGCCCATAAGCACTTTCATCTCTTTTATGCAGAATATTTAGGTTGTTAATTTGTGACTTATTTTTCAATTTCAAGGTTCTAAAATGAGGATTTGAACTCAAGTTGCTCTTTATATTTTTTGGAGAAGGAACAATGAAAATAAGATGAATAGATTCAAGAAACTATTCTCTAAACAGTTACTGGAACTAAAGTTAGTGTCAGAGAGTTTTATAGATGAAAGGAAGAAGAGATTTCTCCTAGTATACATCTTCACTACAGATGAAGATCCTGAGGTTCAGGAGAATTTAAGGGACTTATTTATGGTCACACAGTAAGTCAGTAACAGAGAAGACTAGAACCCAGGTTTCCTCTCAAGTGCATTATTGACTACAAGATGCTGCAATGGTCACTTTTTAATAAAAAGAATGGTTCTGAGTGCCTTTGTTGACCACATGTAATTTTGTAAAAGGTCTATCTGTTCAAATTTCCCTGGACAGCTTTTATTTACTTTTTGTAGAGAGACTTAGTTTACCAAAATCCTTCCTCAAAAACTCTTCAAAACTCCAAGGAGTCAAACATGTAAGGACTGTGGTAGTGTAAAATAATCAGTACTAGATTTGGAGTCAGAAGAACTAGGTTCAAATCCAACCTATACTACACCTAGCTATCTGTAATTGAGCAAATTGTTTAACCTCAGTTTCTTTATCTCTAAAATGGAGCTAATTACCTGTACTACTTCATCAGAGTTACTGTGAGATGACATGTTAAAATGATAAACAAGTTTATCTGCTGTTTTGCTGTAACTATCAAACTTAATTCAGATCAATTAAAACATCATGTAGTAGAGTTATAACTGATATGAAAAATGAGGATTATATCTATTTCAGACATCAGTAATAATACTAGGAGGTGAAGAAAAGTGGGAATAAAAGAGACAGAAATGGGGGGAATGAGGGAGAAATCAGCCTAAATCAGTTCAATGCTTACCTTTCTCTTCTTTCCACCAAAGTAACCAGCAATTGTACAGTATCATTTGCAAGATCCTGCTCACTACTCCATACTGCAAGGTTACTGATGACTTTTTCTAAGAGGTAGCCAACAATCCACTGAGAACCCTCTGTATCTGCTCCAAATGCTGTACTGAATGGCAGGCTTATCTTAGGAAAGTAAAAAGAAAAAGATCAAACAACCAAAACGAAAGCTAAGTCAGAACATCTGTTAAAAAAAAAAGTCAACAGGTAAAAAAAAAACAAAACAAAACTGGAAATCATTTAATTTTGTTTTACCTCAATTTTGGAGGTTCAAATGCCAAAACAGAAGAGTGTTTCAGTACCACCCACTCACATTTTCCAATGAAATCCCCTAACAGTTATTATTTCTATATGAGCTTATACATAACTATGTACCTATAACCAAAATACAAACATTAAAATATTAAAAGAAAATGTAATTTGTTACCTAATTAATTAGTGATTGAAATAAATTTACTCGAATTGTGCACATAAAATAAGGAAAAGAGACACTGGAAAGAAGTTAGTTTCTTCTTCATTTAAACTTTAACATGTTTCAGTTCTTGGATTTTGAACTGATTTTATGGGGGGAAAAAATTCCAAAGGAAAACTAACTTATTTTTATAGCTAATAATCATCACCAACAAACATCTAAACAATTACACAATTTTGTATTCTGACCTGATCATATAGTTTTTCATCCACCAAAAGATAGGTTTTTGCCCATCGTTTTAGGAACCAAACAATATCTTTTCCCATTTGTGGACTAAGTAGATGTGTTAGATTTGCTCTTATTGCTCGAGATTCAACTTCTGAAACCCTCAGTATGGCAGATAATAACCTGTGGGCAAAAAGCAGAGATTATTTCTTCTTTTACATCTTTCCACTTCACATTGTTTTTAAAAAAATAAATGCTGTTTCCTTTCTTAATACTCTAGATTTTGGCCAAGCTAACCCTACAGTCTTTTGTCAACAGGGATAAAGATTGGTATGTTATTGTATGTTTATGACAGAAGTAGAAATACTAAATTTTGATATCTGCAAGATTTAAGATTTTAAAGAGCTCTAGAGAAGTTTCAGGTAAAAAAGGAATCATTATAAAGTGACTGAGAAAAAGGTATGTTGAATTCATACCTCAGTAATCCATCACTCTGGAAAAATTAGGCTGAGCACTGAGTTACATCACAAGCTCTGAAACCATATGGGAGCTGTGAACTCCAACATTCAGGAATTTTAATCTTTTTACCTATTGTGCAATCTCTGTCATTTCTAAATCAGAAGTTCTACTACTTCCAGATAAACTAGAATATTGGTGACAGCAATGATTGGATTTTTGCTGAGGAAATTACACCAGTACTACACTGTTTTGTATTTCCTGCAAAATTATCCCAACCCAGGACATTTTCTTCTTTCTGCACATAAGCTACTCATACTACTCAAATTTCATCAGTTTAGATGTAAGGCAGAGTTAAGTTTGCTACACTAGAATTAATTTTAGCAGGAAATTAGATAAAAGGCAGATCCTTCTTTGCTTCATAAGAAACATTAGGACTTTATAGTAATATTTAATGCCCAATGCAGTGCTGTGACATGGTCCTGGAAGACAGGACTGTGATGAACTTCAGGAATATTTATTAAAGATATTTAAGAATGTGAAAAGACTTTCATATATATAAACCCTGTTTTGTCTTGATTTTTATTTAGTTCACTTTCTAGGCAACATGTTATGTTACTGACAGAATTATGTTCCTTTACTTTCACATGCCAGCTTGTTTATGCTTCTATTCTTTAGACAAAAACCACTGTTTTCAATATGAAAAAAAAAACAGGAATTAAATTTTTGAGAAATAAATACATCATTTTTTATAAACTCTGTTTTGTTCACAGATAATTTACCTGACTTGTACCATACCATTTATGCTGTAGGTTTTATTTTTCAATGTTGGTTTGGAGAGTGACTGTTATCAGACTAAAAATATTCACATTTATTCATATGAATCATCAAAAGAAAAAGTAGTATGTTCATACGCAAAATAACAACAAAAAACAGGAAAAACAACAAAGCCCCCCCCCATGTTCCTTATGTTATGCTTAAGGAACACAGAATAATATGACTGATAAAGTCATTAATACTTCTTGTTCATTCACCAGAAAAGGAAATCTAAAGAACCAACATTCTCTTTCAAAGGCAATGAATTTCTTTATTAGACCTTACTGATAATCAAAATAAGAAAAAGCAAAAGTACTTTATAAAGCTTTTGGGTTTTTAAATACATATAATACAGAAGACTGAGTTTTCCCTTATAACTTCAATTTTACTCTAAGAGCAGGAACCACAGAACTAAATCCTAGTTAGACAGTCCTTTACATGAAATAAAAGATGCTATCATTTTCCTTGGAAAATAATATACTTTTTAAAATTAACAAAGGGCTAAAAAAAGGGCCATCTCTCCATTTTTTAAATTTTGGAACCCCAAAATTAAACAATTGGAACAATTATTTTTAAATAAATTTTCACAAATTTACATAGTTAAGGTCCATTTAAAAAGCTTAAAACAAGTTCTTGTATATTATACAGTTTTTTCCTCTGGTTATGGTTAGAAAGTGAAATGGTTCTAATCAGGGATTATCTCAGATGTATAGATGAATAAAGCTCTGGGAAGTACAGGTCAGTATTTCTCTAGGATGTAAAAGAAACATGTTTAGATTTTATGAAGACAGTATTAACAGCAAGAACATTGCTTTGAAAAGATGAAGGAAAATAAAAGAGAAGAGTCAGCCTGGGTTCATCAATACCAAATCATACCAGACTAATATTCTTTCCTATTTTCACAGGCTTAACAGATAGTAAAATTAGGGTGTTTCATATATGTGTATATGTGTGTGTGTGTATGTATGTGTATATATATGTGTTATATATACATACATATATATGCATATATACCTATGATAATACATATATGATGCATACAAATTAATTTCAGCAAGGCAACTGTCCACCATGCTCACCTTGTTAACAAGGTAAAGAGGAGGGCTGATGTAAAGTAAAACCAGATTTCGAATGGTCTCACTGCAAAAAGGTGGCAATTAGTGAATTAATTTAAACCCAGAGGGAAATCTCTTTAACAATGACACTAGCTTCTCCCCTGAACATGCATTCAATATTTTTTATCAGTGACTTGGATAAAACTACAAATGAAATGCTTATCAAATTTGTTGATGATAAAACTGGAAGGGCTAAATAACATACTGAATGATAAAAGGGGGGATCTCCTAAAATTTTGATAGTCTAGAACAGACCAAATCTAAGAAGATGAAATTTAACAGTTTAAATCTAACCACTTATACACAGGTTTAAAGTACAGGCACCACTCTTGGAAAGACATGGCTAGACAACAGTTCCATGCAGTTGCCAGTGACCATGTCACCCCTACTTTATAAACTCTGGTGGTTCCCTGCTGCCTTGAAGATCTAACATAAACTCTTCTGTTTAGTTTTTAAAGCCATTTGCAAATGAAGCTCAAACCTATCTTTCCAGCTTCATTTTACATTACTCCCCCCTCCTATGCTCTATGGGGACTTAATAAAAAAAAAAAGCACTGTTTTAATTGAACCATAGTTTCTAGAGAAAATAAGCAAAGTTATAATCCTTTTGCATTCTGAACTGGTCAGATAACAATGGGACTATTTACTTTGTTTAGTTCTAGATGCCAAATTTAAAGAAGGCCAGCGCCAGCTTGTTGATGATACTTTGTCAGTATCCTTATTAAAAGTGAAACCCAGGAGGTGGAGCGAAGATGGTGGAGAAAAGGCAGTGAGTGACTCACCTGAGCTCTCCCCCAAACCTCTCTGAACACTTTTAAATAATGTCATGAGACAATTCCTGTAGCAGAAGAACCCACAAAAGGATGGGGAGAAATAATTTTCCAGCCAAAGACAACTTAGAAGATTGGCAGGAAAGGTCTATCACACCTGAGTAAGAGTGGAGCACAGTCTAATGCAGGCTGTGCCAACACACACCGAGCCCCAACAAACCAGGAGAAAGCCTTGGGAGCCACTAAATCATCAGGAGCAGTGGCTGCTTCTAGAGTTCTCAGCTACAGATGGTAAGGGGGTCAAACAACTGATCAGAAAGAGATTACAAGGGTCTCTTTACTGGTACTGGGGGCAGCACCCTTGCTTTGCCCGTACTCAGATCTGGGTGGCAGTCCCAGGATAAGGGGAGCAGTAGTACACCAGAGCTTACAACCACAGTGGAGCAGGAACACTGGTCACAGTTCCAGGGTGGAAAAGAATGTTTGTCTATGCACAGACCAGTGTACAGTACAGAAGTGCAGTAAATATACCTCTCCCTAGGTATCATACCACCTTGGAAGAACTGAAAACTTACAGGTACCCAGAATTACCTATGAAAATGGCTACACAAAACCCCTGATGCTTGTGACAATGCACCCTCTATTCTGGAAGCAGAGCCCGACTTTAGCAAAGAATTAAAAGTCAAGAAATAGACTGGAAAAATGAGCAAACCACAGAAAACAATCCTGACCATTTTAAGTTACTATGGTGACAAGGAAGATCAAAATATAAACTCATAAGAAGATAACAAAGTCAAAGCTCCTACATTCAAAGCCTCCAAGAAAAATACGAATTGGTCTCAGACCACGGATGAGCTCAAAAAGGATTCTGGAAATCAAGTAAGAGAGGTAGAAGAAAAATTGCAAAGAGAAATGAGAGTGATACAAGATAATCATGAAAAAAGAATCAACAGCTTGGTACAGGAGACACAAAAAATACTGAAGAAAATAACACACCTTAAAAAACAGAGTAGGCCAAATGGTAAAAGAGGTATACAAAAAGCCATTAAGGAGAAGAATGCCTTGAAAAGCAGAACCGGTGAAATAGAAAAAGCACAAAAATTCACTGAAGAAAAAGTTCCTTAGAAAGTAGAATTAGCCAAATACAAAAGGATACAAAAGCTCACTGAGGAAAATAACTCCTTAAAAATTAGAATTGAGCAAATGGAAGCTAATGACTTTATGTGAAATCAAGAAACAATAAAACAAAACCAAAAGAATGAAAAAAAGTAGAAGACAATGTGAAATATCTCACTGGAAAAATAACTGACCTGGAAAATATGATGGAATCCTAATAAAGTTGTCCCCAGCCCCAACATCCCTAAATGGACCCCAATGAACAGCAGGCATGTCCTGATTTAACCACACCCGAGGCCCCCAGACTCAATACAGCCACTGCCCTCAGATCCAATTTACATATTTGAATAGCTATGTTCTTGTATTCAACTACAATTACATCATCCATTTCACCCAAGAAAGGACCACAATACCCAATTATCCACCTTGACCAGATAGGACCACAATAGCTAGCCAATCAGAGGTCAGCATGACCAGGATGTCTGACCACTGAACTACAGAAGGGACCCAACCCTATTACCTATCCCTTAACAAACCCTTTCTGCCTTTTTAGTATTCTTCAATACACCATAAATTTAACTGTGTTGTCTTACTAAGTTGCTGGCTCCTTTTGGAACTTAGCCCCCATTTAATGGGAGGTGTCTATCTCAACAAATTCCTATACTTGGATTAGAAGTGGTCTGACTCTGTGAATTCATTCGAGATGAGCTCCCACCACAAACAATGAAACTGTAACAAAATAGATTCAGGAGAGATAACTCAAAAATTACTGGACTACTAAAAATCATTATCAAAAAAAGAGCCTAGACATCATCTTTCAAGAAATTATCAAGGAAAACTGTCCTGATATTTTAGAACCAGAGGGCAAAACAGAAATTGAAAGAATCCACTGATCTCCTCCTTAAAGAGA